GGTTGGAGTCCCTTGCTGGAGAGCTAGTGTGATCCTTTAAGGGTATCATTACACTCTGTTTTTTCATACTGCCAGAGGTCTTGCACTGATTCCTTCTCATCTAGAGAAGCTGTTCACTTCCTGTTTTTGACTTTACTTTTGTTTAGATGGTACTTCCTTCCCCTACTCTTAGAGGTTTGACTGTAGTGTATGTTAGGTAAGGATCTTTGGCTTTGTTTGTGGGTACTTTCAGATGGCCAAGGTGCTGATTAAATTTCTTAGCAATAGGTAGATTTAATGTGGTGGTTTTCTCAAATGCTAATTATTTTAGACTATATTGGCAGTGCACTATGTGTGTGAACAGGTTCCCTTCCTCCTGCCGAGAAAGAGAGGATGTCTCTAGAATCTTATCTCTTTCCCAAGCCCTGTGTGCTTCTAAAAGTAAGAATTATGTTGTGTTGTCCATTTTAGTCTCCAGGCCAGTAGGTGGTGTTTGCAGGTAAGAGTCGGCTGAGCCCTGTATGATTGAATCAGCAAATGATTGAGTGGGTTGTACAAGTTGACCTCCGTGCCAGCAGGTGGTGCTGGCAGGAGAGAGCTCAATGTGTTGTTGTTTGGGAGACTTATGCCTGGCTCTAGTCTATCAGAAGAAGCACTCAGAGTCCCAGACACTGGGTAGGACCTGTAACTCCCAGGGGGCCCCTTCTTGTGATCCACCACCACCAAGGCTGATGGAAGGGGCAAAGCCGGATGGGGCTCGGTCACGCAAGTCCATGTCCAGGCTCCCCAAAGGCTAGCACAAATGCTGTCCCAGTGGGGGTTGAAGATCAGTTCCCATGCTGCTGGAGGAAGCCTCCGAGGAGGATGGTGGAGATGCCCCCTCCAAGCCAAAGAACCTGCTCATGAAGGAGGAGCAGTCCGGAATGCACAATCTAGCAGGCAGAAGTGAGGTTCAAGTTGCTCCCCATCCCTTGACCCAGTGACTTTCCCTCTAGCTTCTGGCACTGATAGCCAGCCAAACCAGCCAGGCCAGTCAAAGGTCGATTGCCCTCAGACAGACCAGCTGGACCAGACTGCGAACCTCTCCAGCCAGGACAGAAAGCATGGGTGCTGTTTCTGAGTGGGGATGGGTGTCCCGTGCATGAACTGCAGCACAAACGCACACCACATGCTCCTTTCAGTTCTGCCTATGTGAGCTCCCTCCCTACCAGAGATCAGTTCACAAGTCTCTTCTCAATGTCTCCACATGACACAGTCGAGTCCTGGGAGTATGGGAACAGGCCCTCAAACCCGTTCCTAGAATCCCCAAGTCTAAGCGACCATGACCAGGAGTTGCAAGCTGGTACACGCCTGCCCAAGGAAGACTCAAGCCAGCCACTTGGAGTGTCGCTGCAGACCAGTCCGGGTGGGTGAGGACAGGAAGCATGCTGTGTTCCATGCAAGAAGACATGTGGGCAGCTCCAGGAAAAGGCTTGCAGGTGTGGAGCTCCTGGTCCAAACACCCCTTAGTTCCACCCCAGCCCACCGTTGCAGCAGAGAAACTTAACCCTGGAGCTCAGGACATCACTCAAGGTCCCATCTTCCTCTCTGGCCTGGCAGCCATGCAGTAGCAGAGCACTGGGGGCATACGCTCCTGATGAGTTCTGGGCACCAGTGTCCAGGGTTTGGAACCCTGCTGAAACTCCACCTGAGCTCCCCCCAGCACTCCGGAGGCCTGGGGGTGTCATGAAACTCCTCATTACTCAAAACTGTAAAGGTTCCAGGTGGGAGTGTAGGGCCCCCAAAGTCTTCTGCTTGCCCCTTCCCTGAGTCCCAGGCAGGGGGCTTCTCAAGGCACTCAGGAGACCCAGGCTGTGTGTCCATCTTCTGACTTCACCCTGATGTCTCCCATTGCCTCTCTGTTATCTTGACTCTTTCTCTCTCTGATGATCTATTCCAAATATGGGTTTTTGATGAATATCCTGATTGTTCTCTGGAGAAGAGGCATATGCTTGCTGCCTCTAGTTAGCCTTCTTGCCCCCAACTCTAGGAAGTAACTTTAAAATGCAATGCTTTCCTTGAATTGATGAGAGGAGTGAACATAATTTTTATTTGCTAAATCACTTGTGTACAGTTAACACAGTTAACATCACTTGCATATTGTAGAATCCAGAGATCATAAAACTCTATTTTTTCAAGTTTTTATTATATTGTTGATTTATTTGTTAAATTTTCTGGGAATATAATAGTAAATTTCCAAAGTGCGTTACTTCTTACCATTTTGGGACAGTTATATAGAAACTATGCATGTATATATTGATAGTACCACCTCATTGCGTACTCAAAGTTAAATGTTAAAACCAGGACCATAATTTGCACAGAAGAAAAACAAATATTACTTTATTTTTTAGTCAAGTATAAAAATATATCAAATGTAAAAGCCTAAATACTTTCAATAACAAAATCATTAAGTATAAAATATACAATGACCATATATATGAAATTTACCATATAGTAATTTACATTTATATTTGGTTCTTCTTATATGTACAGTAAGATTTATTTTAAGCTTTATGTCATTTTAATATATGTAAATATAATATTTAGTGATATTTTAAATAAGTTTGCTCAATGTTATGAATAATTAATTTTTAGGGATTTAGATAGATTGGAATCTGATATTATAGTACTATCAGAGATTATAAAATAAATTTTAAACTTTTGAAAAAAGTCAATGCAATTCAGTGACATAGTATTAAATATATTTCAAGCATAGGGTCGTCATTGAAGAGTTGTGTTACCACAGGAATTGTCCTATGGTTTTTTTAATTGCTTTACAAAAAAGACATTCCTCTTCCATTTGTTAAAAAGTAAGAAGATTTATTTAAAGATCTATATGTTTCAGAAACTAGATAGAATTTTATTTTTGACTGGCACAACAAATGATCTGAAACTGCTCTCCTTTTTTCTCATTAGAAAAGCGTTTAGAAATTTCTTAGTTTAAAAAACAGTTGGTTTAGATGAAGTTGCCAAATCTATGTTTCTAGTGAATATCTACCTTTTTGCCTCTGAATCAAAGACACTGAAATTAGATCCCCTGAACATAATAGATTCAAGCTTATGCAAAAACAAAAAAAAAATGCAGAGATCAGAGTCCGTGTATTCTCCGGGTTATATGCATGAGTGAGATCAGGACACTGAGGACGTTGTCTCCGTCATCGTCACGCCACTTCTGAGGGCTGTTCTTTCTCCCCCCAGAATGGACTCAACGCTCTCCACCTGGCTGCCAAGGAAGGTCATGTGGGGCTGGTTCAGGAGCTGCTGGGAAGAGGGTCCTCTGTGGATTCCGCCACTAAGGTAATGTTCTTGCTGGTAGAATTTATTTTCCTTAGGAAACTGGAAATGATTTAAAGCTTCATTTCCCAGTTGTACATTTCAGAGATTTGCTGGAACACCAAGATTCTTAACTCTGCAGCACTAAAATTGAAACCCTCTCCGTTAAACTTTGCAGAGCTTTAATTGTTTGGTTTAAAGACTTATCAAACATGAGGCTGTAGAAATCTGTAAACCTAGTTTCTAATATTTTGTCTTTCCTCCTTTGATTCACAAACAGGACTAGATTGACATAATCCTCTGTGGGCAATAGCACCTATTTTCCCAAGGGTACTTCATCATTTCTAAATAAATTGGTGTGGTAAACTTTTCAATGGAAATGAGTAATTTTCATGCTTCAGTTACATTGATGTATCTTCTAAGGTATTCATTCAATTTGGTGTGAGGATATACAGAGTCCTTTGTGCTCTAATGCAAAGGAGATTTTGGATCATGGATTGAATTATTAGGGTAAAATTAGACTTTATCACTATAATGTGTGTTTGCAAAGAAATTGGACTCATTTTTAAAAAAATATACAAGATGCTTCGTACACTAGAGACTGTTGCTCCCTCGTTGATGCTGATTTTGCTAAAATATATTCAAACTTCTCAGGGATTCATTTCATAAACAACAGATATTCTAAAAAGTATTATTGATAATGACAAATCTTTGTCTTTTGAAGGTGAAATTTTTATTTGGAAAAAAATACAGTATCTAATCAGAGCCAAGCCTGTTGACCAAAGCCAGAATGTGATAATATGTATGAGTGTGGGAAATGCAGAAGAAGTCAGTTACTCAAGCCTCTGGCTGGGGCATTAGTTCAATCAGGAGTAAACAAAACACAATGTGGGAATGAATTAGAAATATGACCAGTTAACCTGCATTTCCAACACCTCATGCATAACTGCCAAGTGTACATTGATCCTGCTAATAGTATAGTAAACAGCAATTCTAACAGAAATTAAGAAACAAAAACAAATAAACAACTCTCTGGAAATTCCAAAGAAGTTAAAATATATGTTCACCGTATGCAATAAATTCCTTACTTTGAACATAAAGAGAGAGTAAATATTTTAATGAACATTTCTCTTTAGCACATCAAATAAGGGTTGAACAAATATCTAGAACAAAATCTATTTGAATGTAGACCAAATTATTTGCCTTCCCTAATTTGCTTGTGTTAATATAGTATATTCCTTAAACCAACCACTTTTTGATTGCTTAAATGTTTACTATTGTTTTTATTTTTCTTTTCTTTGAAACTCTATTGATATTTTAAAACACAGGTTTGCTTTTAATCATAGATTAGAGTTGTGAAATTTTCCAGGAGAAAATCTCGTTTAAAAAGGAGGAAACTTAGCCCCTCAAATACAACATCAGTGGGTAATGGTCCCTCAGTGAGCTGGAGGCAGAAAGAGAACTAGAGTCCAAACTCTATGGCTTGCAACCTATAGGTTTCTGTTTGTTTTTCACTTTTTTTCTTTTTATTATTTATTTCAGTCACTTGATAGGTATTTTTAATCTCTTGTCCTATATTTTATTTTCACAAAATGTTCAAATTATTTTCATTGGTGGTTGGTGCTGTGGATGGCAAATTTGATAGCAAATGGTGGAAATTACTGGTAACATTATGATTCATGTAAAATTTATTTTTTTATTGCCAAAATATTTTGAGCAACAACCACGTGCCCTAGTGACTGGAAACACAACTGTGAGCAAAGTCATTTTCTCTACCACTGAAAATCCCTGAGTTTTCTTTGCAAGGTGAAATAAATTCAATATTTCAGTAAAGTTTTTTTTTTTTTTTACTTAATATTTCCTTGCAGGAGGACTCTTTAGTTATTGCTTAAATCCCATGAATTTCATGAGATATTGGTCACACACACACACACACACACACACACACACACGTATGCACCCCAAATTTTTTGATTCATTAAGAACTCAGTTTTTGTTTATTCTCAACACTACACCAGTATTGTGAAAGATAAAAAGGGAGACACTATAGGAGATGGTCAATTTTTTTGATGGTAAAAAATAATCCTTTCACGAATGGGCTACTGTCTTGATAAAATGACAACTTTTAATCAGTTGAAGTAATCAGCAAATAAAAATGCCTGCATATTTTGATTTCTACAAAATTCAGAAACTTCTAATATTTTTATTTTGTTTCTCCAAAACAGAAAGGCAATACTGCTCTTCACATTGCGTCTTTGGCTGGACAAGCAGAAGTTGTCAAAGTTCTTGTTAAGGAAGGAGCCAATATTAATGCACAGTCCCAGGTATTATATTCAGATTTTCTCTAATGTAAATCAATTTAAATTAGAATAGTTTCATGAAGTTGATTTAATGGGTTTAACTGGCTGTTAGTCAGATAAATTTATTTAAAATGTTTCTGTTATTTATTTTAGCCAAATTATTTTATTAACTCATACAATGAAATTTATTTTTTGACATATCATAATCTCCCTTTAAATGTAACTGCATACTTGACAAATGTAATATCATTATCTTTATGTATTTTTTAAAAGAATATAAAGTGGGCTGGGCACGGTGGCTCACGCCTGTAATCCTAGCACTCTGGGAGGCCGAGGCGGGCGGATTGTTTGAGCTCAGGAGTTCGAGACCAGCCTGAG